GTAAAGGAGGAAGCACTTGGGTAGTAAGTGCTGCTGAGATCTCATTAGCTAATGAGGGGGTGTGTTGTTCTTTCAGGAACAAAAACAAACATGTTTTCCATGTTTGTCTCTGCTGTTTTGTGCACTTAGTTACCTTTCCTGTATTGCAGCATCTGCTTAGCTCTTGTTCAGCTTTCCTTAGTAGTAGCTGACATGGAGGAGGAGGAACAGAAACTGGTACTTGACCAGCAGATATCGGAAGCAGTGACACAACCCAAAGGACGTCTGCAAATGATGGCAAACGAGCGACAATCACCTTTTATTTCTATGGATTCAGTTCAGTTCTTGTTTGTGGATTCAGTATGTGCTGCGTGTCACAGACAGCGCTGCCGTACAGAGGGCTGAGTTCTCATCTCACCCCTTCCGAAAGGATTCCCTTCTGTTGACTGTGAATTTGGCTAATATTTTTGTGCAGAGGAATAAAAACGGAAGCCAGAAATGCTCCCATGGTCAACTGGTTTCCTTTTGCAATTCCTGGTGACGTCTTTTATGGTAATGTGAACAACTGCTTTGAGCGGATCAACTCCATGACTTGGCCTTTGGGAGGTTTGGACCTTTTTTTGGCACTTTGCCACTCCAGGCTGCAATGAAGACTTGGTCAATCCCATCTGTATAAATATATTAGAAACAAATGTACGCTCTCCTGGAGGTGAACGGGGACAGGCATCCTCTTTCCACCATTGTGAGGACACCGAAATTACCTCTTGTTTGAGCTCACCACCAGTGAACCTACACCTGGTTTAAAGATGAGGTCCTTCTAATTACGAGCACTTCCTCGCTCTTATTTTGCGGCTGTCTGGCTGCCAGCACCCCGGTGTCTGTGTCGAAATGCACGTCCCCTTTTTGTGACGCTTCGCTCTGCGTGCGGGACTTGAATACTGGTCAGAAACTGGAATTGTCCATCCGTGTCACCCTTCCTGCGCACGAACCGTGGGGAAATGGGCACTTCCTCGCTGGTTTGTCAGCTTCTGCTTCTCTAAACTTGGCTCCCAGGTTTACGTGCTAATCAGCGGTGAGGAGCTCTCGGGCTGAAAGGGTACAAGCTGTAGGTTGATGAACTGGAGGCTTGGATTCTGGTTAGCTCCGGAGAAGTACTGCCTTCTTGCAGGGGGTCCACGCTCAAGATTTGCATCCTTTTAACTTTTACTACTGGTTTTTGTTGGTGGGGTTTTTTTTGTTTTTTTTTCAATCCTCCTCTCATTGTGTCATGTCTCTCCCCTCCCCGTTCCCGCCGTATGGTTTAGCTTGGCATAGATGCCAGCTCCTCCTTCTAGTAAAGATAAACCCGTTGCCCCTGCTGTTCGCAGCGTGGGAGCGGGGCAGCCAGCAGGCATCTGCCCAAGCCCGCAGCCAGCAAACAAACCCACCCTCCGCCGGCTGCAGGCTCCGGGGAGGCAGGCTGCTGTCTCAGCCAGGGTTGCCAAAGCTCCTTGAAACGGGGATTGAGGCAAGGGCAGAGCAATGCATGAGGCGCGTGCCCTCTCGCTCGTTCCCATCCTGTGGGAAGAGGAAGGGAAACAGCTTTGCCAGATTCTCTGGAGAAGCTTAGGAAGGAATTTACGGTCCCCGTCCTTGTTTCCATCCTGTCTTTCCATCGCTGCCCTGTGACAGCTGCCGAACGGAAAAAGGGGGTGGTTATGCCGGGCGGGAATCTCTGCCCTTCTCCCTGCAGCTTGAAGCTTGTGCGCCGTGCTCCGGCGGGTGGCTTTTTAGCCAAGGAGGGGAAAGTTGATTTATCCCTCCTCTCTGCCCGCTTGGCAGCGGGACCTGGAGGCACCAAGCAGATGGGGAGGTCCTGGGGTTGAGAAGGGTCCTTTGGCCATCCTCTGCCATTCACGCAGCCGTCCCCAGTGCCATCCCACAAGGACGCAGGGCTGCGACACCCCTGCCCACGGCCGTGCTGGCAGGGCAGGTCCCTCCTCGCGCTCAGAGGGACAGAGTTTGGACAAATCTCTGGGGAGCTCCGGCTTCTCTGGATGAATCACGGGGCTCGCAAGGGAATGGAGGAGCGTGTGTGAAACCTCGGCAAATCTCCGCAGTCTCTGCGTGGGGTTGGGTTTGGCTGCCACGCCGCTGCCCCCGGCCCCGAGGGGAGGACTTGGGGGTCCACATCTCTCCGCGGGCCATGCCGAGCCGGCACGCTCCGCGCCGGGGTGCGCAGGCACAGCCCGTGCCCTGCCTTTCATCCAGGCGGCGGCTGCCTTGGCCTTTCATCTGCCGAAGGCAGGGGGTGCAGCCTCCCGTGTGAAATCCATCCCTCTTTCCCCCTCCTCTCCCTCTCTCTCTGTTGTTTAGAAAACAGGGGAATGGCTAAGGGAAAGGCAGGTGTGCAAACAGCTCTCGCAGCTTCCCTCTGCCCAGGCCCCTGTACTCTTGGCCTGCAAGGAGGTGTGAAAACAATACATTCAGACCTTTCTGGTAGAAGCTTTTCTCTCTCTGGCTCTCCAGCTGCTCTCAAAGGGTGGGATCTGAACCCTTATCCTTACCATAATGCCTGCGTCGACATGGGGAGCCTTAGCTGGAGCCCGGCGTTGCATCTCGCCCTCTGCTTTCCCTCCACACCAAGCACAGTTTGGGGGTTTCTTTGGTGGCTTTCAGGGAGCGAACTGCATGTCACAAAGTCACTGCCACCCCGAGATTACACGGCCCTGAGTAGACCTGGCGGACGGAGGACAGAGGGATGCAGCTGCAGGAATGTGCCTATGTTATTCCAACAGCAACACGCCGTGAGGCTGCTGGGGCGAAGCAGAGGGCTACATCTACAGTGGTTTTAAAGGAAGTGGTCTGTGCTGGGTGCCAGAGACAAAGGAGAGCTAATAAGAAGCTCATTAAGCTGCTGCTGGATGTGTTTTCCACCATAGACTAGTTTCTCCTGCCACAAGCTTCCCCCACTAACTGCTGTTCCAGGCAAAAGCATTTTCCTGATGTTTGTACATTCATTTATATATATAGCCTTCAAAACGATTGAGCTCGTTACCCTCCATCTCTGATGAATAGGTTTTCCTGCCTGTGTGCCATGTCCCACCGCGCGGGATGTGTGAGAGGAGGCCAAGGATAACACAGCCCTTCAATGGTCCCTTAGTGCTGCTGCGGAGGCACGGGAAGGGAGTGCTCTGCCCTCCTCTGAGCACTTCTCTGCCTGCTCCTGCTGTAAAGGAGAGCAGGGCAGCCGTGCTTGATAGTTGCCCTTAACGTACCTCTCCTTGAAACAGAGCCATCTCTCCTGCAGTCTGAATTCCCAGCATGGAAGGGAAAAGCAAAGCCCGCTCGCCCAGTGGAGACCCAGACTCCAGTGCAGCACCAGCTCTGGGGTGCGTGTCCTGGTTTGGGCTAAGCTGGCCGCTAAAACAAACGATAGATGCTCTCTAACTTCTCCTGTGGTCCTGGCTTTGCAACAGGTTTGTGTTCAACCTCCTGCTTGCAGGTTTTGTCCTGTCCTTCGGCTGCTCGCTTGATCTCGCAGGGAGCTCTGACCTTGCTTGACGCTGACGGCTTTCCAGCAAGTCCAAGGAGCTGGCTGCGGCTCAGGTTCACAGTGCTGGGCATGAGGGTCTGCTGCGGGAGGGAAAGTGAGCCCGGGGAGTCCTGGACCACTGCTGCCCTCCCCCAGCAAGCCCTGTGCCCTAGCGTGGGCTTGGGCACGGGTCGCAGACTGTCCTGATGCTTGGGGGTTGCCCTCATGTAAGTCCCCGGCAAGTAACTTACTCGCTTCGCTCTAATGCGGCTTGAAAATGCCTCATCAGTTTAACTTGTGCCTGCAAATTGAGGCTTTCCTGGTGGAAGCTGGATTTCGGTGACTTTGCTGATAGATATTTTTGCACTTAGAAGTACCTCCCTTAAGGAAGTGGGTGCAACTCTGCATAAACTGGGCTCGAGATATTAATTACTCAAGCAAGAGTCAGTTTAGGAATCAAGATCTGGAGGTAAACGAGCATCGGGATGTTGCAGCAGGAGCTGGACACTCAGGCGAGATCCGGCATGGTTGGGAGGGAGGTGGGAACGGCTCTGCGATGGTCGTGGTACCGGCGACGCATTTCTTGCACGGCTGGAGTTTTTTGTGGGCTGTTTGGGATGGACTAAGGCAAACAAGGAGCGGAAGCGTGCGGGGGGAGGATGGGGCCGTCCCTCCCACAGGAAACCCAGGATTAAGACACTAGCTGGATTGTGCGGCCGTCGTGATCACGCTGCTGGACCCCGTGGCTGAGCACGGCCCGGCAGCTGCGCGGAGCAACACAACACGTTCAACCCAGCGGCTCTTGGCAGAGGAGCCGGGGCCAGTTACAACACGACGAGTGAAAATAAACACAAACGCTGTAACTGGCAGCGTTGTAACGGGAAGGAGTGTGAGCACGGGGGCCGGCAGGAAGCCATCGGTCTTGCAGATGGCTCGCACGGGCCGAAGGCTTTCAGCCATCGCCTGCTGCTGCACCGAGCCCTGCTCCCCCACCATCTCCCACCCATGGGCACGAAGCCACTGCACCCTGATCTGCCGCTGCCCTCAATCCGAGCTCTGCCTTGGCTGGGTGGGGATGGAGGGTGAAGCCAGCCCTACCTTAATCTTTCTGGTGGTGTCGGCTCTGTCAAACCCCAGCCGTGGCTACCACCGTGACGTCCCAGGGTGCTAGCGGCTCTGGGGGACGTTGTCTGGGACAGTGTTTCTGCTATGGGACTTGCAAGCTGGGGAGCCCGGGTCCCTGGGTAGTGCCTGGGCTGGTTTGTGGTCTGGGCTCTGTCTACTGGACTTTAAATACAATTTCACTGAGCTTTTGCTTCCTTGAGTCCTACGGAGCGTTTATACCAGGGTGCAAAGTGACCTTTAAAAGGCTCCGGGTTCTGGTTGTCTCCCTGGATGAGGAGAGAAAGCAGAGCAGGACTAGCGCGGTTACACGCCGCCCTGCTGCTGAGATGCTCTGTGTGGGCGTTCAGAGCTGACACGGCGCCTTTCTCCCTCTGTCCCGCAGGCTAGCAGGAACAGCCTGGTAGGGTCCATCTCGGATAGACACGGATGATGCCAGAGCTATGACAGGGATTGCAGTCTTGGCACTGAGGGGTGATCAATTATGGAACAACTACAGGAGGAAGTACCTGAGGTCAGGGAAGAGGAGGAGGAAGAGGAAAAGGCAGTGACAGTGGCAAGCGGAGCCTCGGACTCGAGTGGAGGACCAGACAGCTCGCTGCCTTCGAGCAGCTACACAGGTGAGTGGGGCCATGGGGGCTCATCTGTCCCTGGAGTATCCGGGCATCCATGTCCTCCGGGCAGCGTGCTCAGCTGCAAGGGCAGAGGACCTGCCTGTGAATGGATTTTGGCTAGTTTTAATCTCTTCCTCTTGTGAAATAATGCATTGAGAGCCAAGTTATGGAGAGGCTTATTTCTTCCTCTGCGGTCACTGCACACCCATTAGCAGCAGGATGGGAGATGGAAATTAAAAGGACAGGCAGGTAACATTGTGCCCCAGATGAGAAGGAGGATTCTCAGGGTGCCTGAGAACACTTCCGTGACCGCTTCTTGAAGTCCTTGGTGCAAACTGATTGTAGGAGCTGGAGGAGAAGGCTTGCTGCTGCTGAAGAAGCTCCTCCAGAGCCCTGGGTTTTGCAGATGGGCAGCCCTGTGCCAGCCGCCTGCCAATTGGGGATTATAAAATTTGCTGGTTGGGTTTCATTGCCTGGATGTGAATGCCAGAGGGAAGGAATCAGCACTGATGTGGAGTCTCTCAGCTGCTGGGCGCGCTGGGGTCACTCTTGGCTCTCTGCGTGGCATCTGCCTGCAGACAGTGCCTGATCTCAGCGGTTAACTGCCCGGTTGCAATGCCAGTGGCAGGCTGGGACAGTGCTGGAACTCTCTCGTCAGCCCATGGCTGGAGGAGTTGGGCACGACGCTGGGTTTGCAGCTGCTACATGAAAGGACGTATCCCTTTGTGTGTTTGCAGACCTTTCGCAGAGCTCCTCTCCATCCCTGTCGGACCAACTGCAGATGGGCTGCGAGGAGGCAGCCTTGGGAGCACTGAACGTGGAGTGCAGGGTCTGCGGAGACAAAGCCTCTGGGTTTCACTATGGCGTGCATGCCTGCGAGGGCTGCAAGGTACGTATGCCCTGGGGAGGGCTGGGTTCAGCAACGCCAAGCAGAGTTT